TAATTATACTAATATGCTATGCATCCTGCCATGTACCCCCTACCCTCATTTTGTTCTGGCATGCTGGCACTCCAGCCCCTTCCAAGGTAGACATTGTGGGTTTTTTGGCACTCTGGTCAAAAAATGTTGCCTACCCCTGGACTAGATGGTCACTTTGGTGGGGGTCACCTGAGTAAGTGTGAGTTATCTTACCTGACTAGTGCAGGGGGGCTGGACCCGATAATCTTGCGAGGTCCCTTCCAGCTTTACAATCTATGAATTGGGACAAAATGGTGGTGGGAATATTTAAATATTTGCAGTTGGTAAATGTGTGAATCATTATTTTATAATAAAAACAATAAATTTGGTGAACACAAGCTGAGAAATTTATGCCTGCAAGCTTTGTGCATTTGTGTGTGTTGCATGGTGATAGAGCAGTTATAAATGGGAATTAATGGATTAATGGATGTACTTCCTTACATACATACTGTAGCAGGCTCCAGGCACAGTCGTGATACCTCCTGGTGGCCATGTGACTCCTGCCCCAATCTGGGTCCTTGGGATTCCTTTCCTTTCACCTCAACTGCCATACCTTTGATGCAACTTCTATAGAGTTTAGGGAGGCTGTCCCAGAGTGAGACCACAGTTCAGCTTAGCCTGACCCTTGGCCACTAAATTGTGGCCCTTCTGGCCTTATTACTGCCTCAGTGCACCAGTAGTCTTATGGGTGGTGCTTGTGGCCTCTGCTCTCCCCTGTAGCCACACCCATGCCTCACAGGTGTTGCTCTTCATTCAAAAACCAGCTTGTATGGGCTTCAGCTCTCTTGGGTTTAGCTTGCTGGTTGCTCTAGCTGTGAACTCCTAAGCCTCAGCCCACTTGCACTTGTCTAGCTTCTCAGTTCTAGCCCACTCTTGGTTGTGCCTCAGTCTCACAAGGTGCAGGCTCTGGCCGTTTTGGCTCTTGCCTGCTCCCCTGTTGCTTACTTGGGACACAGGCTCTGGCCCTCTTGCCCCTTAGCCCTCCCCATCTCGCCCTTTGGGTGTGCAGTCCCTTAGCCTGCCCTGTCTTGACCTTGGAACCTGAAGTGCCTTCCAGGCATCCATGGGTAGCCTCTACTCCTCCCCTAAACCTACAACGTAGTTGTCCTGTCAAACTTGATTAGAAATAAATGCAAGCAAACTGCTTCACAACTAAAGTTATCCCCTAAAGCCTCCCCTTAGAGAGAGGAGAAGTTATCCCCTAAAGTTCATAACTAAAGTTATCCCCTAAAGTTTAAAATTAACTAAGTGGGTGTTCTGCTGTAATATTTGGATCTGTGACTGCATATGAGCATACACACTATTGTTGGGTGCAGATCAGACTGTCTTGTCTCAGTATGAAATCCAACTAATTATAAATCTGAGGTCAATGTATATAACCAATTAAGTTATTTCTTGAGTATAGAACATTGGAATAAATTTCTAATGCCCTAGAATGACTCTAGACTAGAATGCCCTGCTATTGTTGGGTCTTTTAAAAAGGTGCTCTTCTGAAGTTCACCAGTGTACCCAGTTTGAATTGACTAAGGATATATTGGGAGTGCTGAGGCTTTCAGGACACCTTTACATCTGAATCGAGAAAAATCCTGAGAGAATTTATAGCCACCATAATTTCTTTGCATGAATTCTTTTTTTATAAAGCCCCAAGTATTTCAGTGCCGAGACAGAAATGCTGTATTACTTTGTGATAACCAGTCTTACAACTTGAATAGAACATTTGGAATAGCAGGTGTTCCTAGTGGATCATTCACAAACCACAAATTGTTTATATAAGCAACTTTCCAGATACTAGTTCGTTACAAATTTATGAAAACCAGATTCATGAACCTATGAATTACTATGAATAAAAAGGGACTTAATCTCCTGAATATATTAGTTGGATATACTCCTAGTATTAGAAGTGACTGAATTCCTGCCAAGTCAAAGCAGTCAAATGTATTTACTTTGAGACTTTTGGACAGCTTTTGCATTGAGCTGGACTGATGCTTCCTCAGTTTCTACCTTATATCTTCACAATATTTGTGTCATTGAAATAGACATGCAGGCTGCATATACATGTTGAAATGACCTGGGAGAGAATTCTCCTTATTTTCTTCTCCTGGTAGAAAAATTTACCAGGAGGTGCCTCAACAGACATTCAAGTGCTAAGCCTTTAAAAGGCAGAGAGCTTGTAGTGCTGATGCTATACCGCTAGGTGGCCCCTGTGGGTACACCTCAGCATGTTTTGCAGGCTTCCTTAGTCTGCCTGGTGACAGATGACAACTTCACAGAGCATCCATGATTAGCTGACCCAGACTGCTCATTCAGCCCATGAAACAGTGAAGGATTGTAAAGGGGACTTATTCTGCTCCCTTCTTGGCTGGAGTAGTAGAGTCCAGTCCAACTAATACACTAGGAGAAACTGAATATCTCTACGTGGCCAGGGATGCTGCATACAGCTCTTTATGGCACTGGGTTTGGTCTCTAGGTCTAAAGCCTAATTTAAGAGAGCAATCCTTCAAGTTGCTCATCGGTAATCCTGTCTTTTAATGCACAAAAACGGAATATATGTGTAAATATAGATAGATATATCTATAGACAGATATAGATATCAACATTTGGTGAAGAATAGTACAGACCGTACAGAGTTTTTCTTGGATTGATTTTTTTTTTTTTTTTTTTTTTTTTTTTAAAGGCCACCCACTGCTTCCACATCTTCAAAATCTTGTGTTAATGCAGTTTTAGTGTAACTGTCATAAGCTGTCAGACTGGGGAAGTAGAAGGTCACAAAAAAGGACAAGTGGTTCCAATGAACCACTGCTTCATTAAAGCTGCCAAGTACATGCAGCCTTAGTGCATGCTTGAGAACATGAATCCATGGGAACACTCAGCAGAAACAGCAATAATTATAGGGGGTTTTTGAGGAGGAAAGAGCTTTTATATAAAATATGCATTATCTTATACGTAGCGTGTATATTTCAAACCCCCTGTTCCCTGCAGGTCTGTTCCTAGCATCTTATGAAGTAAGCTGTTGCTTACAAAAGCTCTTGTCTCTCTGAATTGGTTAATCTATAAGATGCCAATGCCTTGCCTCATGCGTGTAATATATTAAAGCTGCAGTAAGTAGTGCTTTTCTACAAAAGCAGGATATCTTATTTTAAAATTGAATTGATGTTCATTGTGACCTTATTTTATGTTACAGTAGCATCCAAAAGCACAAATCAGGTTTGGAGTTATTTTCTACTAGATTCTGTACTGGCATCACTAATGGTATTGGTCAAACTCCTAGGAGCTCACAGGCAACTTCATGTAACAGACAGGTGAGGGACAATAGTGGAGGGGAAAGAAAGGATGGTAACAGAAATGGAAACATGAGTTTAAATAAGCTGACATACATTGCTGAGCAATTTACTAGATTGGTAATCCATCAGTAAATAATAGCAGACAGTGTGTGCTTTTATAAATGCCTTATTTAAAACAAGGCAGACAAGGTTCTGTTAACAAAAGCAGCTGCAACTCTTTTCCTTAATTTACTCAAAGTCAGATATGCAAATTCAAAGGGGGAGTGTTTGTTTTGCACTGTGTAATTGAGTACAATAAGGTACCAGTTCATTGTAGTTGGTTTTTTGTTTTGTTATTTTTTAATGTATCAGTCATAGTTTCTCTGTTACTTTGGCACAGAATGACTTATCTATGTACAAATATACATTTGACTAATTGGTTTCTCTCTTCCTGGTATTTTCGTTACTTCCAGTTAAGCTTTAAAGTGAGTATGCAAAGGCTGGTGTATGCTTGGAAATCTGCCAGAATAGTTTTTCCAGAATAATTATGCCTGAAAAAGCCCCTTAATGGACTGGAATCAAGAGTGCCTTTTCTGATTTCAGTTTAATTTATTTGGAAAAGGGCATGTTTAGTTTAAACTTTTATAATGTAGACAAAAACTGACTCTTCATTCCAGTATTGTCTGTTAGCTCAAGCTCTGTTCCAGAACCATTTTTAAATCGGTGCAGAAAAATCAACCTCAAGAAAATTTATTTTATCCTTCAAATCAATTTTAGCCTGTTTTTTTTTTTTTTACTTGAGAAATGGAATGCAAATCCCTCAAGTTTTCCTGACTTATTAAAAATAGGCTTATTTAATTTTAGGGCAGCGATTATTCCTAAATATATTTGGCACTATATATTCCTAATTCCTAAATATATGGCACTCTAATGCATAACTTTATAGCTCAGTTTGTAAAAATCCTTAAATCTTTAGTACCCAATTGGTGTTAAATAGTTACTGTAAGTACTGACTACAGTACTTACTACAGTCCAGTTTCTTAACTTCATCATGCTAAACACAAATTTTCTGTGGCTTGAGCTCTGGGGAAATTGATGTATATTGTATAGCTTTAGTTTGTACAGTTAGACTGAATGGTTGATACTTGTAAGATAGAAAATGGCAAGAAAATGCTGTGCTCTGTATGTATTAGCTACATATATCCAGGAGCAGTAGCCTTAGGACTCTTGCGTTTCGTGTACGTTTGAGACTGCTGTAGAATCCTAGTACCAAAAGAAGGGATGGAATTAGGTAGGTATAATAGGAGTAGGATTTGCTCCAGTCCCCCAGCATGTGTTTCATAGTGCAGTCTGAAAGCTGTTTCATTTCCTTTTCTTATAGTCAAACAAGAATGGCTACTTCTGTAATGAAAGAGATCAAATTAACATGTGGAGTGGTCTAGAATAAAAAGCTAAATAAAAGCAAATATAGCTAGATTCTTACCTTAATGCCTGGTGCCTTGACAGCTGGGAGAGAAAAGAGCTCTTGCAAGTCAATGATCTATAATTTTGTGTAATTATTCCTGGTACACTTTTTGGCTTTTAAGACCAGCAGTAAGCCGAATTTTTAAACAATACATATTCTTAGCCAACTGTCTGTGTCAGTGCCTATCAACTTAATGGCTTTTGTATTTTGTGGCTGTATAATGTATGGTAGAATTGATTTTGTACTTTATATTTCAGTGATAGGCGTTTGCTGCAGCCTGCTCAGGTATGTGACATTTTCAAAGGAGTTATATTGGTCATCTGCTACTTCATGATGCACTATGTTGACTACTCTATGATGTACCATCTGATAAGAGGACAGTCTGTCATAAAGCTATACATCATCTACAACATGCTAGAGGTAAGGGCATTTTTATCAAAAGTAAATGTCAAACCATGTTTCCTCTGGGTTTTCTAGTATTAGTCTACTTTTTGTATTTTGAGTCTGTTACATTTCTTTAATTAAATCAGTGTAAAAAAATTAATATACACCTAGAAGTTTAATAAGTTGTTCAAGATATTATCATATGTATATCTTTTAATTGCTGCTTCTGTTAAAATAGCACAAATACCTTCATATACAGTCTGTTTTCTGTAGAAAGTTCAGTTAATTGAGTTAAATTGAGAGAGATCATTTAAAATAATTCCTTTCCTGAAATCTTAACTGCCAGTCAGAATATGATATTTGGGAGGGGGTAGAAATCCAGATAAGAGCTGCAAAGAGACATTTTGCTTCAATAGCAATAAAGGGTCTTTGGAAGAGTAGAGAAATTCATAGGAAAAAAACAGAAAAGTAGGCTGAAAGGGATCTCAGGTCATCCTCTAGTCTACCCTCTCCTTGAGGCAGGATTATCCCTATTTAAACTATCTTAAACAAGTGTCTGTCTTATGTGTTCTTAAACAATTCAGGAACAACCGTCTTGCACAACTACCAGATACAATGCCCAAAATACAAAAACATCTGAACTTGCCACAAATAAAGAAAGGGAGTGAGGGCACTGGCAATGTTTTGCCACTGCAAGGACAGGAAGTAATTGTTAAAAATGTACTCGAAGTCCATCTTTTATTAGACCAACTAAATAGCTGGAAAAATTGTTCTTTGCAAGATTTCGAGTACAAACACCCTTCTTCAAGAACAACAAAATCTCTGTGTGCTTGGAGAAAGGTGTTTGTACCCGAAAGCTTGCAAAGAACAATTTTTTCCAACTAGTTAGTTGGTCTAATAAAATATATGGTCTAATAAAGAGATGGGCAGATGAGAATAGGATGGAAATCAATGCAGACAAGAGCAGGATACTGCATCTAGGGAGAAGGAACCAGCAACACACCTATAGGCTGGGGAAAACCCTTCTCATTGGCACAGAAGCGGAAAGGGACCTTGGAGTCATTGTTGACTCTAGGTTGAACATGAGCCACCAATGCGAGAAGCTGTCAGTAAGGTTAACTGCACCTTGTCATGCATCCACAGATACATCACAAGCGTGTCCAGGGAGATCATCCTCCCCCTCTATGCATCATTGGTCAGACTGCAGTTGGAGTACTGCATCCAGTTTTGGGTGCAGCACTTCAAGAGAAATGTGGCTAGCATTGAGAGGGTCCAGAGGAGGTCCACTCGCATGATCGGGGGCAGCAGGGCAGGCCATATGAAGAGAGACTAGAGGGCCTGAATATATTCACCCTCCACAGGAGAAGGCTGAGGGGGGATCTGGTGGCTGTCTACAAATTCATCAGGGGGGATCAGCAGGGAATAGGAGATGTCCTATTTCCCCAGGCACCACACGGGGTAACTAGCAATAACGGCCGCAAGTTAATAGAGAGCAGGTTCAGGCTAGACATCGGGAGGCATTACTTTACAGTTAGGGTGGCTAGGACCTGGAACCAACTTCCAAGGGAAGTGGTTGTGGCTCCTACCTTTGGGGTCTTTAAGAGGAGGCTGGATAGACACCTGGCTGGGGTCATATGACTGCAGCATCCGTTCCTGCCCAAGGCAGGGGGTCAGACTTGATGATCTATTTAGGTCCCTTCTGACCCTAGCTACTATGATACTGTATCACGTTTCCCCCAGACAACCTTGTCTGCCTCTGTCCTTAGACCAACACAGCTACAAGCAACAACCCTCAAGAGGTCCAGGAAGAGAACCATGTGCCCAGCTACAGAGGAAGACAAAACCCACCAGTAAATGCCAATTTGATGGGGGCAGGGTGTTAAATTGCTTCCAAATTCCTGATATGGGGATTGGTTTGACCCTGAGAGGAGTTAAGCCTTCACCCCCATACTGCTGCCTGCCCCGGCCAGCAATATCTGGATTCCAGCAGGAGCATTGGCACACCCCAGTCAAAATCCTCAGCCATGGCTGCGACCAGTACTCAATGTTTCTGAACGGGGTGTGGGGAAGGGAAAGAAAAACCTGACATCTGTAGCAATAGGAGGGGGAAAAAATCTTGCTTGGCCTCGTGGCTACTAGTTGCATGGGATAAACAACCTTCACTTTGCACTGCAACCTGGGAACCACAAACCTGAACTGGAGAGCCAGAACTCCCTTTTCTGTCATTCTGTCTCCTCTCTAATTTTATCCCAACTCCTTTAATCTTTTATAATGAAGCCATGTTACTACAGTGCTTATTTGTGTGTTAAGGAGGAGAGCTATGAGCTAACATTTTACCATAGGTTAGGCTCTTTTGGGTAGGCTATGGTTTGTCTATAATATGGAGATTTTTGATTCTAAACGCTAGTTATTCTCTCATGTTGTTTGAAAACATGAAATAAGGATCACACTTTATCACCATACTAGGTTAATGCACTTCTTGAAATGTGTTGCATGTGAGCCACCTCCAGATATGTAATTGTGAAGGCTTAGTTTTTTGCGTCTGATTTATTTTTTTAATACATTTTCCAGTGAACTGAGAAATCAGATTGTTGAATTAGGATGGCAAGATCTTGTGCATTTTAAAGATCTAGGACAAGGGTTTCCAACCTATGTCCCATGGGCCAGATCTGGTATGTGGAGCCCCATAATCCAATCCCTGTTCTGCCCCTTTGACCCACATGCTGTGCCAGATGGCCCCACACCACGTAGCACTCGCTGGGGCCAATGTCCTGGACTGGCCCTGTGCCATTCATCAAGCCCCAGGGCCTGATGAGTTTGACCCCTGCTTTAGGGGTTATTCATTCCCTATGCCATTTTTAATCTATGATGATAAGGATGATTATCACATAGTGAGTAATGCTTAATGCCATACAGCTTAATGCTACTCAAAATAGCCCTTCTGTCTGTAACCATTTCCAAGTGCTGAGCAAATACAGTAAGGAATTTTTCTAGTAGGCTTAAAAAATCTACAAAATTTATCTCAGTGGATTAGAAGGCATGTGAATCACTGGGGGGAAGCAGTTGAGATTTGCCTTCATCCAGGACCAAACAGAAGCAATTACCATTTTCTAACTGAATAATGCAGAGCAAGGAAGGAATCTCTGCTGCCTGGAATTCTCTGTTCAGCTTTTTGGAGAAAAGTGGGAGTCTCACACTGCTCATAACCACTGTCAAAAATCTATTTGATTTCAGTGCAGCGGGATCAAGCTAAAATCCATTTAATTTGCATTATCTGTCTCACAAGTTTTAGTGTCTAGTAGCAGGGCAGAGTACTTCTTGCAGCACCTCTTGCACATCTAGTCACATCCAGAGTGTCAGCAGAAAACAGAATGCTTCAGTCCTATAAAATACAGTTGCTTTCAGGACAGCTAAATACTTGTACTGCTGTAGTCTGGGTAAAGTTGCCTTACAGACTGTAGTCAATTCAGTATTTTTCAGTTTAAAAAAATGCAATAACTAGTCTTACAAGTACATCCTAATTGTTTAATTTCAAACTCAAAAGTTGGAGTGTTTAATATGGAAAAATGATTAAACTGACAAAGATATTTACAATGTCTTGATGTTTTCGGCTATCTCTGAGTCAGAGAAAAATGGATATGCTAGAAGTGCAAAAACTTTCCATTTGTGTGCTGAATGCCCCAAGTAAGTATGCTGAGGGGCGCATTCAGCACCATTGGCTTAAAATGACACTCTTCTTTTTTTAGATTCAGACCCACCGGCTCCTGCTCCTTAGGAACACCCAGCGTGCGTTATGCTGGTGACACCTCACTCACCATGGAACTCTGCTGGAGCCGGCATATAGGGGTTAGGTAAGTCGACTTGAGAAAACAGCCAACAATATTGCGTGGTGTTTTTAATCGTTCCAGTCTCATAGCACTTAAACTCATTTTAAAATAACCAAAAAAAAAAGCTTTTTAAAATCCCCGCAATATTGTGGAGAAAACCAAACTTACCTGACTCTCTAAGCATTATATAGTGGGTGCGCGTCACCAGGCATGATAGGGTATCACTGAGCAGGAGCCAATGGGTGTTGCCTATCTTCAGTTTGACAAGTGAATAGCCGAAAACAATGCCATTGTAAATATGCTTTTCAAGAACTACTCTTCCTAATATAAAGTTTAGAAGTTATAATAGGGAAATGGTAAAATTTCCTATAATGCTATAAAAGCGGCTGATGGCGTGCTAAATGCTGTTCTTAGGCAGCATACGTGGGCATTCAGTATTTAACTTCCCTATTTCTGTTGTTTTTGTCAATTATGTACCTTTTAAAGCTTTTATAATTGAGTGGATGTTGGCTTGAGTGAGTTTTGCTTAATTTTATTGTTTTTGTTCGAAGTTGCTCTTCAATAACTTCAAAATTTAGACCCTTTAACTAGCAGCAGGTAAAATGTAGCACTGATGACAGGGTAACTGTTGTGAAGCAGAAAGCTTTTTAGTTAATGTGAAATGGTATGGTATTTGCTCATATCTTCTATTCTACTCTGATATCCATTGCATAGTGCTTTTGTGTCTAACTTAATTTACAAAATAAGCATTAAAGGGAAAGTTAATTACTACAGTTTAATAAGTGATGCTAATAGTTTTATCATATGCATCTCTACTTTGGTCAGATTCATAAGTAAGAGAAAATTCATCAAGAATTAAGGGTTCCATTGCTGTTCCTCTGAACTTCCTCTTGCTGGGCAAGATATTTAATTCTGCAGTTCTGAGACCTACATACCATATTTACCAGAATACAAGACAACTTTTAATTTAAGACAACACTTCCCTAATCATTTGTTTTAATTTTCCATGTATAGAATATAATAAGTG